CCCCTCCCCCCCCCAACCCCCGCCCCTCTTACCATGCCGTCCGAGCAGGGGGACGCGGGGCTGGCGGGCTCGGAGCGGCCGTAGTAGCTGTGGACCTGCTCCCGCAGCAGGTCCTGGAGGCTCTCGATGTAGCGGATGGCGTTGCGCAGGATCTCCACCTTGGGCAGGCGCTGGTTGGGGTTGGCCGTCGTGCACCTCTTGAGGGTCTCGAAAGCCTGGTTGACTTTCTTCAGCCGCCTCCTCTCCCTCATGGTGGCGGCCTTCCTCCTGTCCGTGGTCGTGGACTTCCTTTTGCAGGCTTTGCAAGCCCACAGGAGGCAGTGGCCGGCTTGGTGGTGGCCCGTGGGGGCTCGGACGTGCTCGTCCTCATCGGAGCCCGGCGGGGCTCGTGCGCGGGCTCCCGAGGGGGACACGCGGTGCTCCAGGCCCTCGGCCAAGCCCCGCTCCGGGGAGGAGAGGCAGGAGCTGTCGTAGAAGAACTCGGATGGAGAGAACTGGCAGGCGTCCATCACCTCCATCCTAGCAGCGGGGGAGAAAGAGGGCTGGGGAGTGCGGCCTGGGGGGCACCCACCCTCGCTTCCCCCGGGCGGTTATTAGTGGCCGGAGGCTGTGTCCTCTGGCTCCTTATATACAGCGGTTCTGGGGGGCTGGTCCGCTCGGCTAGCACGTCCCATCGCATCCCCTCCTGGGGCTGCCTGGGCAAGCCCCCTCCGCGCGCACGCACACGTCTCCCCGGGAGACAGCTCCTCCACCCCGCGCCGGCCGAGCCGCTCGTCGCACCCCAGAAACCTGGCTTTAAAAAAAGAAATACAAGATGGACGGGTTAAAAAAACAAACATAAGGTTGGGGGGGGGGCGAATCGAAATCGCGGAGATGTACAATTTTGTGTAAAAAGAGGGTTAAAACCACCCGCCCGTCATCCACTCCCCGTTTGATTCCTCCTCCGTGCTGCCCCGGGGAGAAGTCAGGGCAGCGCCCCCGGCCCTGTAACACATGGGGAATGGCTTTAGCCCGTTTTACAAGGCAGCCGGTGCTTCCAGCTGGAAGCCGCTTGTGATCTTGCCCTGGGACACGCATTGCCCCTTGATTCAGTGATTTGACAAACACAGCTGTAAAAAAAAAAAAAAAAAAAAAAAAAAAAAGGAAAAAGCACTAGAAGAAGAAAACAGTTCAACAGAGCAGAGACATGATGCGTTAATGCGAGGGAGAAAAGCATGCCAGGTAGCGGTCAGATGTTAGTGGTCCCTAATGAGGTACTCACAGAAGGAGACTGTATCTGTTTGCCGAAGGAAAAAAAAAAACCCTGCTCCTCCACTCTCCTGGCCTCTCCCTGAGATGACCTGATGCTGCCAGAGACACGACTGTAGGGCCCTGCTCTGGGCCGGCTAATTTTCTGCTTTCAGGCAAACTTGTACCGTTACAGATGCGTCCCAGCTGCCAGGGCAGCCACCCCCTCCTGGCAGTGTAAGATTTCTAACCCCCACGAGCCCTGAGTAACTTTACACAAGTCGGTGACAAAAGCCTTCCAAAGACCTAGCAGCAGATCACTGAGGCTGGGAGGGGGGTTATTAGGCTGGTAATGAAGCCATTTAACAGGCATTTAAAGAACCCCTTGGCTAGATCCAGATGCTTTCCGAGTTTCGGGGGGGGGGGGGG